GGATGCCAGAAAGGAGAGGAGAGAAGAGACCAGAATATTCTCTCCATTCCACCTCTCATATTGTTCCCTGGTCACCTCTTCATGATCAAAACCTCACCTTGGAGGCATCTTTTACCCTGAGCTGCATCTTTGAGGGAATCTCAGCCAGAGAGATCGCCCTCCCTCAACCATCCCAGGGATTTCTCTGTCTTCCCCAAATCTGAGCCACTAGCCTTCTTGATGCTCCAGTGGCCCCACAAACAACTTAAGCCAAACTCACATCTGGCCAAACTTAGGCCACTACTGTCCCTCAGCCTCCATGCCCCTGGCCCCACTGAGCTTCTTCCCAGTTCCTCCAGCACTGCATGTCCCCTCCTTATTACCTCGATGACTTACCTTGAACTTTCTAGACTCTGCCCAAATGTTTCCTTCATGCAGTCCTCCCTGATACCCCTGTCCAAGAAATGAGTCCTCCCTATGGACTATTGTCAGGCTCCCCCCACAGCACATGTTGACCTCATAGGTCCAACTTATCTTCCCAATGCCCATGTGCACAGGGGTGAACAGGGGCCGCGTCTGCTCAGCCCTTCATCCCTGTGCTTGGCCAGCAGTACCGGGAGTCCTTCAGGGGTGAATTTAGCAGTGAATGGCAGGAGGTTGGTGGCTCTGAATGTGTGCACGTGTTCATGTGCCAGGGCCTCTCCCACATCCCAGCCCACACTCTGCACAACCCAGTTGAGGGCCCAGCCTCTCTCTGGTGCTCAGCTTGGCCAACAGTGCACTCTCTGCTAGCAGCGCATGGCGCCTGTCCTCAGGGCGGGGTCCCTCCAGGAGCTCTAGGCAGCTGTCCCAGGGATGCAAAACAGCCAGGATCCTGTCAGAAGGGCCCTGTTGGGACACGCCAGAAAGCAGGCCTGCGTGAGCTCATCTGTGGGCTCACAGCTTCCTCCAAAACAAGGAGCCTCTCCCTTGGCCTGGCAGGACACTTCTGTGTTGGCATGACCCAGCTCTGGGCCTCTTGACCTCCTCTCCCACCAGGAGGTTCCCCACTTCCCTTCAGCTGCTGTGTGCCCCTGGTGGCCCACGCCTCTCCAGCATATCCCTCCCTAAGTTAGCCCATGCTCCAGCAGGGCTGGGGAGGCCTAGAGATGCTGAGTCTGTTGTAGGAAGGCAAGAGTTTGTGCGAGGAGGGTGGAGTGGGATAGGTGTTAATGGAGCCTGCCTATGCCTTTGAAGAGGGCAGTACCCGCCCGCCTGCCAGACTAAGGGTTAATTAGCCTTAATCGAGATGGCACCTCCTTCCTCCACCCTCTCCCTCAGGCCTGGAAGGGAAGAAAGGGAGGCAGGCAAGCAAGCAGGAAGGAGGACTCACCCCAACTGCATATAGCCTCTGTTGCCCCTGCCCTCCTATTCAGGTTTCAGGGGGTCTTACCCCTACTGACCTATGGGAGGGGGAGATGTTCGTTTGACCCAGGACACAGGAATGAGGGGGCTCAGCCAGGGAGGAACAGATGGGACACCTCATCCCAACTCTGACCCCACACCTCTTCAAGTCTCTGAAGCCTCCCTCCTCCTGGAAGCCCTCCTAGATTGATGCTTTCCCTGGGTTCCTTCACCCTCTCTGAGTGTAGGGTGATATGCTCCTCTGTTTTCTTTGTTGGATTCTAAGTACTGGGCAGGGAAAAGGGCCTGCTCGTCATCAAATCTGGACTCCCAGTACAGAACTTGGGACTCAGGTGGGTTCCTGGTGACCAATTTGTTGAATGAATGAGTGAAGTATGTCCCTGCTATGGAGGGTCCTGCACCTAGAGAGGAGACAGGCAGGAACCAAAAAGCATTTATGCAGGATGGAGAAGGGAAGGGACTCCGCTTGTCAGAGGTCTCAGACTTCAGAGCTGAGTAGCCCAGGTTCTAACCCAAACCCAGATTGCCTGGCTGCAGATCTTGCATTCTTAGACAGAAGATGTCCTGTGATGGATGTGGTCAACAGCCAAGGGCAGTAGGGGATGAAGGGTGTGCCAGCTAGAGGTTGCAACTTCTGCAAAGGCCGAAGTGTAAGAGGAACCTCCAGGAGGCTGGTCCAGCTCGACCGTGAGGGCAGTGGGCCATCTGCGCTGCCACCTAATGTTTGCTGAGCACTGCATGTGCCAGGGGATGCCGCAGTGATTAAGGAGGTGAGGCTCCTGCCTGCCGCCACCCCTCCCCCCAGTGCTTGCAGCCAGGAGGGAGAGACAGACCACAAGACAAACTAGAGACCGGGATGCTGGGGGCTGCTCTCTGAGAGACTGAGCGGAGACCCCAGGGATGAGAAAGAGCAGGACTGAGCCAGGGGCCTTACCTGCGCGCCGTGGGAGGGTTTGCAGTGGGGTCGGACTGGCCCCGTCCCTGGTGGAGCAGACCAGAGGCCAGTGAGAAGGCAGGAGCTAGGGCAGCAGGGGACAGAAAGAGGAGAGCTAGTCACAGTGACCAGAGGGGTGAAGAAGGGTGTCTGAGGACGAGCCCACCCACTGCCCATCCAGGCTGGTCATCGTGGTGCTCATTGGCGTGAGCGTGGCCTGGATCCCCGTCCTGCAGGGCTCCAACAGCGGGCAGCTCTTCATCTACATGCAGTCAGTGACCAGCTCCTTGGCTCCTCCCGTGACCGCAGTCTTCATCCTGGGCATCTTCTGGCAGCGAGCCAATGAGCAGGTGGATGGGGGTAGAGGGAGCAGAGGCAGAAGCTGGGCAGGGAGCCTCTCCCATGTCTCAGATGGGCTGCGGCCTGTTGGCATCTTCTTCCCCTGATGCCTGTGTTTGGGGGGCGGGGGGTGCTGCCCCACCTGTCCCTCATCCTCCTCCAGGGGACCTTCTGGGGTCTGATGGTGGGGCTGGCTGTGGGTGCCACGAGGATGGTCCTGGAATTCCTGCACCCCACCCCGCCCTGCGGCGACCCAGACACTCGACCTGCCATCCTCAGCAGCTTCCACTACCTGCACTTCGCCATCGCCCTCTTCGCGCTCAGTGGAGCTGCGGTGGTGGCTGGGAGCCTGCTGACACCACCCCCCCAGAGTGTTCAGGTGAGCCCACCCCGACCCTTAATCAATTTCTGGCTCTGATGCCATTCTGACCTCTATGACTCAAGAATTTTCTAGCTCTTAAGTCCTAAGCCTGTCTCATCCTGGCCCCTGGCCCTTTATGAACTCAACTACCGTCTTTCCTTTGTGACTCCTGACCCTGACCCTGTCCAGGTCCTCCCCCATCCTGTCATGTCCACCCACCCCTACCCATTCCTTGCAGATTGAGAACCTTACCTGGTGGACCCTGGCTCAGGACCCACCCTTGGGAGCCAAAGCAGGTACTGTGTGACCCCCCAGCTCCCTCTCATTTCCACTTGAGGCAGGGGCTGGAGGCGTGGGTGCTGACTGTGCCTCTGGGTCCTCTCCTGTCCCTTTCCCTCTCTCACCCCCTCCAGGTAATGTCCAAACAGCACAGAAACATGCTTTTTGGGCGCGTGTCTGCTGCTTCAACGCCATCCTCCTCGTGTGTGTCAACATCTTCTTCTACGCCTACTTTGCGTGACACACCCCACTGTGCAGGAAGGCGGGGTCCCCAGAGCCCTTAGTCCACCTCCCCTCCCTAATAAGTTTCCCAAAGCCCAGGGAGGGGGTGAACACCCTCACAGCTACATGGCGGCAGTCAATGCCCAGGACTGGTCCAGTCAGCTAAGCAGGAGTCCTTGAAAGTTAGGGGGGTTATGGGAAAAAAGAAAGTGATGTATCAAAAATAGCCAAAATATACCAAAGTAGTCATTATTGAAAAGAAAATTCAATTTCTGACGAACATCCTTATATGGGTTTTACTGTTTTTATTTTGAGTACACCAGCCCCAGGGCAGCACACCCGCCATGGCACAGGTCTCCTAGGGTCTCAGACCAGCCCTGGGGCCTGCAGCTGCTCAGGGGCGCCTTCCTCCTCCCACTTGCTTCCAGCTCCGGGGAGCCTTCTCTCCTCTCCTCCCTGCTTACCACCTATTCCAGCATCAGCCTGGCATTTAGAGACCTTTCTGAGTCCCCTTCACTCCTCCTGCTTCCACAGGTGCCCTGGCTCTGGGCAGGCACTATTTAGTACTCCCCGCTGGGTGCACATCCAAGTGAACACCTTGTCTTTCCTTAAGTGGGGTTCTCACCTGCACTGCCCTCCCTGCTCTGAGTGCTGCTGGACCTCCTGAATTTCACACCTGGTCTACAGTTCCCCCAGGCTCCCTAGGGTCCTGGTCTGGGGAGAACCTGGGCCTGAACAAACCAGAATAGGGCTCTCCAGGGCCTGCTGCGCATGGCTTGTCCACCATGTGAGCCCACAGAAAGGAGTAACTGCCTCCATGTCTTTCATCACTGTGCACCCCTTCTTCAGGTCCAGGGTCTCCAACCTCCCCAAAGTGTCTGTGGTAGTGCCAGGATGTTGGACACACAGGTGAAGCCCAAAGTAGTGGGCTTAGGAAGGCCAGTGTCTCCCTGATGTCAGTCCAGTGAGGCCAGGTCAAGAAGTGTGCGGCCCCCTTTCCTGTCCCTCAGGACTAAGCTGCTTCCCCAATAGCTAGAACAACTCCAGGGCCTTTTGCGGAAACAGCAGGCGGGTCCAGGGATGGTCAACCCAAGGTCAACCACCTGCCAAGCCAACAGTTCTGGCTTGAGTTCCCAGTGGGGGGAACTTAGGAGGCCCCAACACTTCCAGAGGCAGGGCCCACTGGCAGGGGGAATAGGCAGGCCCCTGCTGGCCTGACCCATGACGTTATACAGCTGATGTCCAATGGGAAGAGGCCAGCAGGAGAGCCCTAGGACTTCCTTCTGCTGGGTGAGCACTGGATACCATGGTGGATTTGGGGTGCTGGGGCGCTGGCCCAGTTAGTGTAAAGCAATGGAAGCCCCAGGCTGTGGGAGCCATGTTCCAGTCCTCGGCCCCCTGTGAGCACTGTGGGACCCGGGAAAGGAGTATCCATGTCTTCTTTCTGAATCTCAGTGTCTTGGAAACCCGCCCATGGCTGGGTGGTCTGTTGGCTCTGTTCCCCCTGGACCCCACTCCAGTCACAGCTGTACCGGCTGGACATAGCTCCGTGGGAAGAAGCCAACACGTCCACACAACTGGCCCCGCCACCAGTAGGGGTTCTGGTCTTCCAGAACCTGGATGATGGCCCCTCGGCGGAAGCTGAGCTGCTTGGGATCTTGGGCGGAGAAGTCAAACTGGGCCTGGGCAAAGTAGGCCTGGGGTGTCTGCAAGGGGAAGAGGTGGTTAGTGGGGCCCCTTCAGGAGCCCTGAGATCAGGCTCTCCCTGACAACTCCCCAACAAGAGTGATTTGCTGCAGGTCAGGAGGGGTCTTCCAGAACACTTGCCTCCAAGTCCGGAGGGGTGGCCTCCCCACCCGTGGGCCTCTTCTGCCCCGCCCCATGTCTGCCGCACATCTGCGATGCCAGTGTCCTGTGCCCCAGCTTGGGCCATAGGGCTGGCTGGTGGGTCAGGGCACCTGAGACCTGCTCCTTGGTTGGGACTTGGGTTAGGTCCCTGCTCCTCTGGGGACCTGAGTCTGCAGCAGCCGTGATACCTTTTGACTCCAGGCCCTGGAACCACAGGAATAGGCCTCATCAGCAGGACACTGTTGTGTACCAAGAGCAGAGCTTACTTTTTTTGCCAGGCTTGCAGGAGAGAAAGTTGCTTGGAGCTGCTCCCAGCAAAGGTCTGGGTTCCAGGCCCCTAAGGTGACCTTGGGTGTATCCCTACCCTTTTGTGGGGCCTGGTTTCTCCTCCCTCGAAGGACAGCTGGACGGGAGCTCTCTGTGGGCACGTCAGCCTGGCGCCATGGCAATGATGCCCAGCACCCTGGCCCTGCCTGCCCCACCGGGATCTCTGCTCAGAGCCTGCGGAATCTTATCCGGCACGGTGATAGGATCAGCGGACAAGCTGTAATTAGCGGTTCTCTGCCCAGGAAGGAGGAGGCGGCATGGGTCCCAGGGGACTGAGCCAGATCTGGAGTCACCCCACAGCATAGATGACCCCAGGGCATAGGTCAGGGCAAAGAAGTGGGCATAGGGGAGAATCAAGTCGCCCTCCCTGCAAAACCCCCCAGCTCCATCTAAGGTCAGAATTGGCCCAGGCAGCAAGGGGGAGGGAACAGAAGTCTGGGAGTTCCAGGCCCAGCTGGGGAGAAGAGTTCTTTAGAGCTGACAGCTGACCTCTGCCCCCAGAGACAGGCTGAGGAGGCTCAGCTTCCTGGCTGGACAGGGGTGTACTGGTCGGGTGTCTGGAAGCACTGTGTGACTCTGATGATATATCACATCCCAAAGCCCAGCTAGGAATCAGCAGCTTTTAAGGCCACATATGACAAGGCCACAGGGTCTAGGAGCAGGACAGGACTGAGTTTCTCAGCCCCTTCCCCAGACCTTAACCATGGCCATGTTCCCCTTACCCTCTGCAGCGTCCAAGTTCATCTGGGCTGTCCCAGGGTCCTGACCTGTAGCCCCAGGTCTTGCCAATAGTCCTCTCCCAAGGAAAACAACACATTGGGGCTCTTTTAATAACCCCATTGACGGATATCGTCACCCTAATGAGAGTGAGAGCTGGTGCTCGGGGCCCTTGATGAAAGGGCTGACTGGCAAATTGCTGTTATTGTGAGGACCAGGGGGTGAGGACACAGACCCTCCCTCACACCCTGTGCCTGGCCAACCTCACCCATGAATGCTCATTTTGCCCCACACCCCACCCAAGGCCAGCTCCTCGGGAGCAGAGACCAGAACAGGGCCTCCTGGCAGGTGGCCTCAAATGAGTCATTTCACTCCCTGATCCTCAGTGTCCCCCATGTACAATGGGGGTGCTGAGGCTCACAGCATACAGGGCTTGGCTTGGCGGCTCTCAGAAGGCCTGTGTGCTCTGCATGGCTCTGGGAGCTAAGAACAGGCAGACCTGGATGCTTTTGGTTTCTTTCTTTCTTTTCCTTCCCACCCCTGCTAGTCTCCTGGCAGCACCACACAAACAGAACTATAGAGCCTGGTCTGGACCCCTTCTCCTGTGACTTGGGACTGCCAGGGAAGGAAGGGAGGCCAGTCCATTCCCGGTGGCATTGCTCCCACCAAGAGCCGGACCGCCAGCCTCTGCCTCCTGCCCGCCTACCTTGAGCAGGGGCGCCTCGTCACACAGGTAGATCTCCCGCTTCTTGGCGATGGTCGTGGTGCGGTAGAAGTCAACCAGCTCGTTGAGGGAGTTGAACTTCTTTTCCCATAGGTAGTACTTCCCTGAGGCCTCACGCAGCACCTTGAAGTGCTGGACCTGGTCCCCGTAGCTAGGGAAGAAAACCCATGGTCACTTCAGACAAGCCCATCTGACTGGGCCCCATCCCAGCCAGGAGTAGCCCAGGCCCTCCCTTCTCACCACTACCTGTAACCAGGCCCTTCTCGCTCTAGTGAGACCTGGAGTAGGAGAAGGTGCAGGTTGCACAGGGAGGTTCCAGACCTCACTGACCAGCTCCATGTAAGACCCAGTGCATCTCCCCTGGCAGTAGAGTATGGACTTAAGGGTGTAAAGTCCTGGACCAGGCCATTTTCCTGCTGTGTGATCTTAGACAAATCATTTAAAGTCTCTGAACCACACATTTCCTCATAAAGATAGCAACTCCCTTCTGGATAAGTGCTCAGAATATGCTGGTTATGGTTTGTTGGCAGCATTTAAATAGCTCCTCTGGGAGACTGGTGATCAGACAGCATCTCCTGTCACATCTCTTCAATATCCCTCTCAGCCTTGACATTCTCCTCCCTCCCTTCACCGCTCTGAGCCTTCACAGTCCCTTGGGGAGTGGGTCCTAAGATCATCCTGACACCACATAAAAGCTGCCAGGGTGAGAGGAACCCAGGCTTGTTGGAGGCTTTGTGTCCTCCTCTCCCTTCCCCTCAAGAAACTTCTCTGGCTCCCCATTGGCCTCAGAACAAAATCTTAACACGTCAGACTCAAAATCTGACTTACTCCATGTTCAATGTTGTTTTTTTCTCTGCTCTCTGATGCAATCTGAGCTCTTCTTTCTCATTTCTTAGCTTGCGCCTAGACTTCCAACGCACTATCCCCAAATCCTCCCAAGAGCCTCTAGCCCAACTGAGGAGACAGCCTGCCTCTTCCAAACTGGCCAGCAGGGCAGAGCCTTTTCTGGCTGGTTCTGGGCAGAGGCATCTGTCTGGGGCCCTCCCACCTGTGGTGTGTCCCACCCCAGGACAGGCCATGCAGGTGGTGCCACATGGGTAGGGACAATAAGCAGCATGGTTCTCCTCCCTGCTGCAGGGGTGGCTGGGCCTGTCTCATGACGTGAGAGTTGCAAGTCAGCTCTTTGTATTGTGGGGAAACCGAGACCCAAGTGACAGCAAGAAAGGGCTGGGGCCTATCTGAGCTCATGAATGTCAAATGCCACTCTATCATGCTCCCCAGTTGAGTGCCCATTTTAAACAATTACAAATAATAATTATTCCAATTGTGATACAGATGATGTCCCAGATCTGTCGTCCCAAGCCCGGTCCTACTCTGACATGTCGCTACCCAAGCTGTGTCCCTGGGAGAGCCTTCCTCTCTTGTCCTCTGCCTGGCCAGATTGCAGTCCCCTGTCCCATGCTTACGGTCAATCACCTGGCGTACACCTTAGCCGGCCTTTCTAGGACTGGGGAGAGCAAGGCCTGGGCTCGCCAGACCAGGCTGGCAGCCCTGAGGAGAACACAGAACAGCTCAGCTCCCAATCAGAAAGAAACCAGTTTAGGAACCAGCCTGTGGTGGATTGTCCTGTCCAGGAGGCTGGTGGAGCTGAGAACTGCTTGTTGGGGCTGGTGGGCCTGGCAGGCATGTGTGTTGAAGGCATTAGGGTGGCCATTGGGAGGGAGATGTGCCCTTGGCCTCCTGAGTCATGGGCTGTGTTCTTACTTTGGGGCTAAATGAACCAAACACTGTTCCAGAGACCTGGCATTTAAAAAAAAAAAAAAAAGAGAGAAAGTAAAAAAAAGCACCACCAGGGTTCCAAATTTAAATCAAGCTCAACAATTTTTGGACGAAATGTGTTTGTAAGCCAGGGTTTGTCTGGGGCCTGCAGTCCAGGTTCTTCTGAGGACTGGGTGTCTGTCATCCCTGGCTGCTCGGGTCTCCTGCTCTCTCTGCTCCATCCCTGTCTGTAGTTCACTTCCTCCACCTGTCAGCCCTGGGGCTGCTGTGCTGCTTTATTAAAGGTTTAAGAGAAAAGACTGAAGATAAAGATTTGCTCACGGTAACCATCCTCTGGTCTGAGTGAGTGAGTGACTGTGCGCACGTGTGTGTGCGTGTGTGTGTGTGTGTGTGCTTGGTGTAGGGGCAAAGTGGGATCCCCCACCCTCCCTGAATCAAAGGGTCCAAACCACACAGAACCTGTCTCTCATTTTCAAACACACCTTCAGTTCTTTGCGTATACTATTTAGTTCATATTTTTCTTGAGTCAAACTCTTACTCATGCTTCAAGGCCAAGGTAAAATGACCCACCCTCTAAGAGCTGTCAGACGCCCTATGTCAGAGTCAGGGGTCCCCTTAGGTCCCTTAGCCCCTGTACAGCCTTCTCATAACCTGAAGCACATAATGGCTTGTGTACCAGACACTGAAGAGGCAGGGAGTCAGGATTGGGCCCCAAGGGCCTCTGGATGGGAGAGGCAGGACTCAGGGAATAGCGCACCAGGTCCCCAGCCTTACGTACTCATCTGATGCTGTGTTCTGGAAACCCTCTCCTTGGCACCTCTGAGCTGGTAGTCCAGTCCTCCAGATGTCCTGGCCAGAAATAGGCCCTGCACCCTCCTGAGACACATCTAGCTCTCAGGGCACTTAGCTCAAAAAGGAGCCAGTTTCCCCCATGAGAACTGAGGCCTCAAAATGCCCGAGGCTCTGTGACCAGATGGAGCAATGCTCCCTGAACCCAATACAAAGCCGCTCGTGTGATGTCAGCAAGCATTGTTCCCAGGTGACTAAGCCGCTTGTGCTGCCGCCTGGGGGACATGTGTGTCTGTGTTTCTGGGCTGGAGAGGAGGGTGGGCAGGCAGGCTGCACCTCCCGTCCAGCCTGACCTGCTGCAATGTCCTCAGCTTGATGGTCTGCAGTGGCCATGTCCCTGCAGCCCCTGGAGCTTTGCCTGGGGACAAGTCTCATGAGCCACAGAGGGAGGTGACCAATGGCTGGGGAGGCCAGAGACCAAGAAACAGGGGACCCCAGCAGCTGCTTGTCTGGGTCACCTGATGCAGGGGCAGAAAGCCCTGACTAGGTGTCGGCCTGAGGAGAAACCTGGTGTCCCGAGGCCCCTGTCCTCTGGATAAGGGGCAGGCAAGATGCAGTAGGTTTGAAAAAGACCTCAGCCCCAAATGACCACAACTTTGAACATTTTGGTGTTTGAAAGTTATCCACAGTCGCTTGCATCCAGAATAAAAGCATTCCCTGGTCATATACGAGGGGCAGAGAGTAGAGACAGGGGAGAAGATGTGGTAAAGCACCAAGGGGCCTAGGAATTCCAGGACCTTCCAACTTGAGAATTCTCAAATCCGGGAAGCTGGTATGTTCTGACTTTTGCATGGCACACAGTACATGCTCAGTGCCTAGTAGGTCTCGTCCCTTCTCCCTCCTCATCCAAACTTCCTGTTTTGGTGTGGATAGCAGGGTCCAGCTAGGAGGGGCCTGCCCAGGCCACAGGCTGCCCAGCTGCCTGTGTTGCTGCATGTGACCTGGGCGTGGCTCTTCCTGCTGAGCCGGCTGCTGGCCTGATGTCGAAGGGACCACACCTGTCTGACGCCAGGCAGGCCTTCTCCATCTGAAGACCCCATGGGCTCGACTCCTGGGTAGTCGATCTCTCTCTTGGCCAGTCAGCGGGGCGCTACTAGCTATGGCTGGCTGCCTTTTGAGCCCTGGCCTCCCCAAGCCCATGGCTCTCCCCAGGAATGCCTTTTCCCTTTCCTCTGCCTGGTCTTGGCCTGAGCCACCCTTTAAAGCCTGGGTGCAGCCTTGAGACATCTGAGAACCTCTTAGACCATGGGTTGCCCTCTGGGGACTCTCGAATCTGGACCCCCCCCCACTCCCAGGTCAGGAGAACTAAAGGGCATGCAGGGGAAACCAGGCCTGGGTCTGGATAACCCCCAAACTTGGAGAAAAGGCTTGTGAGTAGATAATCTGCTAAGTGAGCCCCCTGGGCTGGAGGGAAGGTGGCTAAGACGGGGTCTGAGGGTGCATATTGCCAGAAGAGGGGGCATGTGGAGCTGGTCGATGGCAGTGGGCAGTGCCGGGGCACACATACATGTGTGTGCATGTGTGTACCTATCCGTGAATGCATCTGTGCATGCATGTATCTGTGCGCCTGTCTCTCTGTGCAGGTGTGTGTCTTGTGTGTGCCTGTGTGTCTATGTCCTGGTCTGCATGTGTCAGAGGTCTGCCTCCATGGTGTCTGGGTGCATGTGTCACTGTGGGAGTGACTGTGCATAGGTTTTTCCCTCTGAGCAGTCCATGGGGGGCCCAATGGGGACCAGGATGAGCCAGCCCTGGGCTGTCAGAAAAGCCCCAAGGATCTGTGAGCACCAGGCAGTCCTGTGCAGCTGGTTTTTCTGGCCTGGTGGCAGCAGCAGCAGAGGTGACAGTGGCAGCCCAGGGAGGATAAACAAGGCTGGGTGAAACCAGACTGCCCCTGCCAGGGTCTATGGGAGCCCCTGGTAGGAGCCTGGGTGCTGACTGCCTGGGGGTGATCTTCATTAGGCGTGGACCTTGCCCGGTCTGTGAAAAGGAGAGTGGGGAGTGGAATACTTGTGTGGGAGCAGGCAGGACTCAACCTGACTATGGAAGGGGCTTGTGGGGATAGACTCCTGAATGGCCTGGGGTACAGGGAAGGCAGGTGGAAGGGCGGTCTGGGTCTGCCAGGGCACCAGTTCTGTTTCCTTGCTGTGTGACCTTGGACAGTTATTGCACCTCTCTGAGTTTTGGTTTCCTTACCTGCTAATTGGACTTCCAGGGTTCACTTCCTCCCTGTCTTTGCATGCATCAAGTATCTCTCAACCCGAACTGGCATTCCCACCTCCCTGCTTCATTTGTAACCCAGTAGAAGGTTGACATCTAAAGGACAGGGAGCTTTGTCCTATTTTGCTTGTGGCTGAACCCTAAGCACCTGGGACAGAGCCTGGCACACAGTAGGCTTTCAGTGCCTGGAGGCACAGAGCAAACACGGGTGCATTGCCTCCAGTTACCTCTGGCCTGAACGGAAGCAAAACACCAGACTGGAGAACAAGTGGTCATTGACGACTTCTACAATAGCCAGGATCGGAGTGGTCCCCGGCCCCAGCATCGCAGCCTAGCCCTGGCTCCCAGCCCACTGGCCACCAGCTCAGACGTGCTCCTGGAGGGACAGTGGGACAGCCCTTTGTAAACTCATAAAGGGCAGCCAGCCGTGGCCACCAGCGTTCTTTGAGGCCCATAAACCCCACCTCTGACAGCTTTATGGGGCTTGGCATGAGCGTGTGGGAGATGCCACGCGTTGTGGGGTCAGAGTCCTCAAGAGTCAAGGCAGTGAGGGTGGAATCATGTGAATCTGTGCAGCCATCCACAGGATGGCTGTCGGTCACTGGACTTCCAACACCCAGAGTTACTGTGGCCACGTCAGAGATGCCAAGGGAGATTGCTGGGATCCTGAGGTTGCCTGGCAGGTCCATAGCAGAGCCAGGGTGAGAAATGAATTCCCCACTGCCCCCTGCCATTGCCCCTTTTCCATATGCCCTGGATTCACAGGGCCAGGAGTAGGGTCCCTAGCCCCTGGTCCCTTCCCCCATAGCATGGTGTGGCCCTTTGAGGGTTAATATAATGATAATTACTCCAAATGTCATTTATTGAGCACTTACTACTTGCAAGGCACTTTACATAGATGTTCACTTTAGATGGGAAACAGGCTCAGAGGGTAACATACCCAGGGTTATTAGTTATATAGAAGTTATATAGTAGTTATCAGAGCTGAGCTTCCTGCTTGAAAGTCCACACTCCCAGCCACATATACTCTATGAGTTTCAGTTTCTCACTCTGACCGCTGCCTCCAAGGGCCACTAAAGGACACAACCAAAAGATGATGGACCCTGGAGAGTGGAGCAGGATCCAGGAGCCCTGGCCCAGCTGGAGTAAAACAAAAGGTCCATGACGCCACCTGCTGGTGCTGTACGTAACTCATACTCAGGGGAGCCCCGGAAGCTCCTGAGGATTCTACCCTTGGAGGACTTGGCTGGGATGCCTTGGAAGAGGAGCTCAGGGACTTGTGCCAAGATTTCTCTGACTTCAGCAGACCCCTTTTCAGGATGACACAGGTGTTGACCCCTCTGCTCAGGAACTGCTCACTAGCCCTGTCCACTTCCTCTCCTGATCAGAAACTGTTGCTGTCTGAACCCACCCTCACTGCATGCGCTGCTCCCTGAGCCTGGCACACCCACCCCTCTCCTTGTGCACCAAACTCCTACTCACATTTCAGGGCCCCGCTCAGATGTCAGTACCTTCATCATGTGGGATGTTCGCTGTCACTGAACTTTTCTTCTTCACTCATCATGGAGCTCCTTGGACCAGGCCCTGTTTACTTCCCCACCACACTCCTTGGGTTTGACTCCTCTCCCTGCCCTACCCTGTGCAATTCAAACTCGCAGTAGGTTGAATTGTTTGGGTTTGAACCTGTGCTGTGCCAGAGGACTGCATTTACAGAGAGATGCCAGCAGAGGGCAGTGCATCAAGGCCCAGGGATCTGTTAGTGGAGCTGGAGAGGAGATAATGATTGGTGAAGGCCAAACGCCTCCAAAGCTCAGGCTCCAGAACCCACCCAGTGACTTCCATAGTTCCCTGATTTTCTGGGTGGTCTTGGGCTTTGGGCTAGTGCTGGGGTCGCTGAAAGCCAGACAAGTCTGCCTGGGTAGCGCCATTCCCAGGGGATAAGCAGGCCCGGGACTGCCAGCACTTGGAAAACTGCCACATCCTGCTTTTGTAGGGACACACGGTGGGAAGTGGGGACTGGACTAGGGAGGCATGGTAGGGTGTGCCAAGATGGGGGGGCTCCAGATGCCCAAAACCATCCCAGGAAGGGGGGGCCAGAGCCCGCAGGACCTCCACCCTGCATCCCGCACCGCCAACACACACACATTGATGGTGCTCCTATTTTTAAGATAGGCTTAAAAATAAAGGCTCAGAGAGGACAAGAGGATTCCTGCCCCTGAGAGTACCAATCTGTTCTCAAGGGAAAAGGGAAGTGAAAAAGCCAACGGCTGGCTACATACTTGGGGGATCAGGTGAGGGCTGGGTGTGGCTGTGACCACTCAGGATGTTGGATCCTTTCACTCCTGCCCCCAGAGCCTTCCTCTTCTTGGTGGTCAGTCCCACATGGGTGCCTCTAGGTCCAGACGGGGAGATCACCCCTTCTCAGGGCGCAGTGGATGGGCCCATTACACACCATGATGAGCTCTTTACCGCAATAGACCTGTGAACACTGCACAAGGTCCCCTTGAGCCTGACTCAGCCAGGAAGGCATCCACTAAGGACACTTTTCTGCAAACAGGAACCCTCAAGTATGGCTGCATGAAGACCTCACGACTCTTTCTCTGCGTCTGTGGCACTCTCCTGATCCCAGCACCCTATCAAACATGCTTCCTTGCACCCAGTCCCAGTGTTAACCATCAGAAAGGTCCCGTGTCTCTTCATCCTTTGGAAAATCATCAAGCCACTGACTGTGAGTCAGCCTGGCACTAGCAAGATGAGCACCTTGGCAGAGCCACTCAGCATACTCTGCCCCAGTGTCCACTGCTACCCCTTTCTTCCAGCTGGCAACTCTGCCACCCAACATTAGCCCTTAGTGACAGTAAAAGCTGGCACAGCAAGCACCTCCTCTGTGCAGGCTCCATGCCTGCAGCAGCCCTGAGAGTTGGTATTGCAAACTGCCCCCACTTCACAGACCAGGCCCACGCCACCTCCAGGACCCAGCCACCCTGTCCCTTCAGCCTCCACCAAAGTCCTAGGTGCAGTCACCTCTTGCCTGGTTCCTTGTAGGCCTCCCGGGTGCCACACTTATCCCTCCACCCTCCTTCTCCCTCACAACCGCCAGAGGTATCGGCTAAAAAAGAATCCAGTCACATCTCTCCCTACTCAAGACCCTCCAGGGCTCCCTGTTGCTCTGAGAGGAAACCCCACCTTGTCAGGATCTGTCTAGACTGTGACTAGAACTCCCACGGCTCTGTTCCGGTCATACCTCCCCACTCCCCTGTGGGCTTCCATGTCCCTCAAGCACAACACCGCTCTCTCCACCCAGAAGTCCCCCTCTCAGGCTCTCAGGTCCTCATTTCCAGGGACCCAGGCAGCCTCCACCAGTGGGTCAGATCTTTGCTCAGATGCATCCTCCAAGAAGTCTTCCTTGACTACGTTGGCTCCTGCTATATTTGTTTCCTTGTTCACTAGCTCCCCCACTAAGACATAACCCACAAGGCAACTTTGCGTTTTTCACTACAATTTCCCAATCCCTAGAATATCCTGGCACGTAGCTCAATCAAGATCCCTTGAATTTACGCATCTAGAACTTACTGTTCTGAGCACTGGGAATAGGAAGGGCAGAGACCAGACAGGGGCTAGATCCTTCATTCCCCACCCCTATTCCTGCCCTTGCCTTCCTGCCTGGACTGAGGAATCATTTGCCTCAGTTATGACCTTTGAGACTGGGTTCTATGCTGCCCGGAGATGCTGCCCTGTTCACAAAGCCTGACGTGCCCATCGCTGCCGCTTGCTTCAGTGCCAAGTATATTCTAAATGCTCTTAAATATATCGACTCTTTCTTTCCATGCAGTAAACCATTTTACGTGTGAGGAACAGGCGCAGAGAAGATAAGTGACTCACCCAGGGTCACACAGCCAGGAAGTAGCAGAACCAGAACCAGAATCCAAGCAGTATCAATAGTATTGCCACATGCTGGGACCCTGGACACATTCCAGAACACATCCTGGAAACCAACCCTGGGTGTCCTGGTGCTCTCCTGCTCCCAGACTCCCCTACCACGTCAACTGCTAACATCCTTCTTCCTCCCATGATGATGAATCTTTAATGGTCCTTACTAGTCATTCAGTGATATCCCTCAGCCTGGCCTTCAAGGCCTTGCAGTCAGTCAAAGCCTGCTTCTCAGGTACCCACTGCTGCTCTGGCCTCGCTTGGCCTGCACGTCACACCCAGACCCCTAGAGGGCCACAAGCCTTCAGGGGTTTCCTCAACCTGCTCCATCTATGGGGATGCCATTCCCTCCACCTCCCCCCACCCCTACCTCCCTCCAAGGTTCCTCTTTACTCTTCATGGGTCAAAACTCACTTCACGGAGACTGAGAACTCTCCAGGGGAGCTCTCACTCTCCCGGATCAGGAAGGCTCCCAGGTGGTTCCTCTTCTTCAGGATCTCTTCAGCCAGCTGCCGGGAAATCCTGCCTGAGTACCACCTGCAGAGAGTGGGGAACAGTGAAGACACCGTGAAGGCTGGGTCACCCCACCCTGGGCCTGGCATTCAGCACCGTTGCTCCTCATAGCAGTCCCAAGATGCCGGAGACATGATGGCACCCCTTGGACAGATAGGGGAGCCTAAGGTGCAGAGAGGTGACATACTTCACCTGTTATGGCAGGCGGGGCCTGGGGCTTAATCCCAGCATTCTGGCTCCTGAGCCCAAGCCTTTCTCACTGCAGGAGGCAAACCCGTCCCCTTATGAAAACAGAAAAATCAAACCCCAATGAACCTCAAAGCAGCCAACTTCAGATGGGCGTTTCCATTTTAGATGGTAGGTTTTGAGAAGTCAAAAAATGCAAAAACAGATGACCCATGAAGAGTAATACAGTAGCAGCCCAGATCTGGTGAGAAAGGGCCACTCCCTGGACCCATTTCACAGATGCACAGACTGAGGCCAGCAGGGTTTTTACTCATGGGCACAAGTCCCTTTTCCTGCTGATCAAACAGAACTGGGTGACAGAAGTTGCCTGGTAAATGCTTAGGCTCTTGCAAGTTGTACCCCACCGCCAGAACCTGGGCAGGGGAGTGGGGAGCTTCTCTTTTGGCCCTGTGCATCTTGCTGGTTGACTCCAGGTAGCCCCTGACCTCTTTGGGCCTGGCCCACCCTGAAGGGCCATGTTTTTGACTGGCTTCCTGGCCCCAGTGCATTAGCCTAGTTTTGGCTCCTTTACTATTCAGATGGGGAAACTGAGGCCAGGAGTGGCCAGAGACCCATGGTGGACCATAACTAACTGAGGATGGGGTCAGAGCCCCAGGCTCTGTGCTGTATCCCTTCCCTCCTTCAGCAAGGGCTTCCTGAGACCGAGCTTGGCCCTAGGGAAGTGAGGAGGGGGGGTGGATGTGAGTTAGGGCTTTTCCCGTTGTCTCAGGGTATTGATTGGTCCTCAAAGCTGAGAGCAGAGGGAGTAAAGTACAGAGGCAGATGCTGGGGTGTCCTGCCCAGATCCCTGCTCCCACTCCACTGGGTGCTGCCTACCCAGTCAAACGCCTGTTCTTCTGCCCCAGGACTTTTCTGCCGACAGACATATGTGGCTTGTGTGCAGAGTGGGCTGAGTCCCTAGAACATTCTCAAGTGACGTCTGAGGGGAGCAGGTGGATAAACACTAGCTCCCTACCCCACCATGGAACCGCTCTGGGGTGTCTGTTCTGAATCTCCTCATTTCTCCAAACAGTAGAACTGCAGCCACAGCTTTGTCAGTAACACACCCCCACTGGCTCCTTCCCTGTCTGTGTCCCTAAATAAAGCCTTGTCCTCACAGCATGTCTCAAGCTTCTAGGAGGCCCACAGCCCCAGAAGTAAGAGTCTGTTGCTGCCCCCAGACTAGAGGGGGGGCCTGGGCCCCCTCACGGTGAGTTCCTTAGGAGAGGAGGAGGTGACGGTGGTTGTTGAGTGTGGGGGCTCAAGGCAACCACCCGGAGAGCTAGCTGGTGTCTACAGAGTTTAGGGGTCCTAACTGGAGGCCTAGAATCCAGAAGCTAGGGGCTCAGGAGGACAGGGAAGAGAGCCCCCACCCAGAAGCCCCCAGCAGGACACAGGTGCAGGGCCCAAGTGGGTGTTTCCTGAGGGCCTGGTGTCTCCAAAGAACCCACAAAACCCTATAGAAGGCGTCAGTGTGTGGGCGGTTGTCACCCTCAAAGGATGTCGCAGCCACACCCTTCAAGGAGGCCTGCCCTGCCCCCACCAGGGGAAGGCAGTGTTGAGCTTGGGTGGCTTGAAGGGTGGGTGGCAGGAGAAGCTAGCATTTCCTGATGCCCCCAGAACCCACCTCTGTCTACCACACCAGTGTCACTCTCTTTGTGACCCCTTGTGGTTCCCCATTTTGCTGATGTGCCCACAGAGGGGCAGGGATCCTCTTGAGGTTGCATGGTAAGTCCCTGGCCTTGGACTCTCCTTGGCCCCAAGGCTGTTCTTATAGGGTTCCCCACCACCTCTCCTGATGAGCATGGCCTGGAGTCCACATCACTCCCCACGAAAAACCCGTTCTGCCTCTTGTCAGCTGTGTGGATCTGGACAAGCCACTCGACCTCTTTATGCCTCTGTTTCCTGTCCACAAGAGATGACAGTGGTACCTGGGGCCCTTGCGAGAAATGGCCAGATTGTTGTTGCAAGCAGGTGTTTGCTGCTGTTTCTGTCTGAAGGGTTCATGCCCCTCCTCCCACATAGCACTTGGCTAGGCCTGCCTTCTGCCCTCTCTAGCGAACTTCTATTCTAACCTCCAGATGCAGTGGACCATGCCTTCCTTTGTATGGCCTCTGGCCACGTGGCTGGGTGATGAATCCCACTCTGGTGGCACCTGGTCAGCCTCATGCCTCCCCAGTGGCCCCCTAGGCCAGTAGGGGTGGCAGTGGGTGTTTAGGGATGGGGTGGGCCTGGTGTAGGCACAAGGCCTTCTGGGACCCCAGCCTGCCCCCTGCCCACCATCCTGGGGACTAGATGGGCTGACTCACAGACTGAGCTGGAGTTTCCCCACTACTATTTTGGGGCCAGAGTGGGTGCTGAGGTTTGCCAAGAACACACCTGGGCATGGTGTCATGCAGGTTGGTTGGGGCCTGATCCCCACCCTGCCCTCTCCCAGGTATAAGTGGCAAGAGGTAACCCCAGGGATCCCAGGGACATCAGAGACTGGCTCTGCATGGCTCCCTGGAGTAGTCTTGCCTCAACCGGTGTCACTGCCTTGCCTAGCGCCGCCATCTTTTGTCGATTTTTCTGCTCCCCCAAGCAAATGGAAGTTCCTCAGGGCTATTCCTCAGTTGTAGGCCGTCCAGCTTTCTGACTTTTGCCAGCCCATTTTCTCCACTTGTAGTCCTCTCTCAGACCTGCTAGCTCATGGTGGTCTGTCCCATCTTGTTCTGGCTGTTGGCTTTAAGATACTGGGGTGTCTGGTGCCAGCTGTGGCCCCGGCTGGGCTGATGGAAAGACTGCAAGGCCAGAGAGGGCAGATGCCCACAAAGGGGAATAAACCCCTCGACACCCAGAGTTTGGCCTTGTGCCAGTCCTGAGTCACACGGTCCAGAGGGACACTGCAGGGGCTGGAACCCAGGGATGGGGACTCGTGGAAGACGCTGGGGGTGCCTGGGGTAGTTGCGACCCTGAATGGGAAGGGACCTCGCCCAGTACAGGAAGCCAGAGGTGGCTTCCTTGGAAATAACTCAAAGACAGATAAAGAGGAAATACCCTCCACACTCCACCCTGGGCCTGCCCCTCCCTCCTCTTCCACCCTGTAGTCACATAGGCATCATGGCTCCCAGTCTGCCCCCTCTAGCCTCCTGGCCCTGTCACCCACCTCTACATCTGACTGAGAACATCCTCTGCTCCATGGCTTCCTACCCTGGGCATGGCACGTAAGGCTTTCCTGCCAGTCCCGCTATCCGCCCCCCTCCCCTCGGCTCATCCTGTTCCTCTCCTGGGAATACCTCTTTTTTTCAACTTACCTAACTCCTGCTTATCCTTCAAAACCTTACTCATTGCCACTTCTGAGAAACCCTCTCTGTCTAGTTGCCTCAGCACTGACTGTCTTCCTATGCTGTAATTTCTTTACATCCTGTTTCTCCCACAGGATGGGGCTGTGCTGACCCTGGTGTCTAGTCATGTGTCTAACATCTCCCAGCTGGTCCCCCGGGATCACAGCCAGTTTCGTGAATAAGCCCCAGCATCTCGGGCCTTCCTCAGTCATCATTCAAGCATATCAAGTCAGTTTTTCATAGATTTCTTGGCCACCAAGAATGGGGATGGGCTCTGCCCCAGCCATTCTCTGGACCATAGCATTGCCGGCCACCTGCTGAGATCCTGGCAGGGGCTTCCCTGGCCAGCAGGCCCCTGGGCCCCACACACTATTCTCACTCTGCCTTGTCCCAGACTCTGTTCAGCCAATGTCCAGTTCACTTCCATACCCCAAAGGCAGAACCCAGGGGGGTTTCCTCTTCATGTCTCCTTTGTCCCCTCCATCCCCATTGCCTATCCTGACACAGGTCTGAGCCAATCTCTTAGAGAGACCTCTAGAATCCTCCGCAGATTGGAGTTTTAGCCCTCCTTGTGTTACAGACAGGGAAGCGGAGGAACAGAAAGGGCAGGGCCCTGACTGAGGTCATGCAGCAGCCCATGGCCCAGCCAGTTGAAGGCCCACCCCCCTGTCCTCTCCAAAGCTCTTCTGGGTGTTCTCTGGTGTTCTAGGTCCTCAGTGTCAATGCCTGGGCTCAACCTGACTCAGCCATCACTTTGGACCATGCTCACATCTCCTTTGGTCCTTGCTGAGGGTGGAGACTGGAGGCCCCAGACGAACAGTAACTGAAGTAAGGGTGTTTCCATGCACAAGGGATGCACCAGGCCCCAGTCTACACAGAAAGCTCAGCTCAACCTGGACAAGGTAGAGACTCAGATTAGGGGATTGAATCTTGAGGACACAGCTGGGGACAGCCACTTACGGGTGGGGCTTGATGTGGATGTAGTTCTTGGGAATAAACCCCTCGGCACCCCGGAGCTCTGCCTTGTACCAGTTCTGGTCATCTTCCATGTTCAGGATCTGTGGACAGGAGAGACACAGACACTCAGTTACTGGGAGAAATAGCTGTCACCTGCCGAGGACCTACACTCATCTCTGAACCATGTAGTAAAGGTCTGAGGTTCCCAAGAAGGTTGGGGAGCCAGCTGAGTTCAGTGCTTAGTGTTAGTCTGGGGTCACTGCATTTAAACAGTCCTTGCTGTCTGAACTCAGGGTGATGACTCTGGGGGTTCCAGGCACCAGGGAGCAAATAAAGGAGAACTTTGGGGAGGAACCTGGTTTGCTTGGGCTCCTCTCCCATAGCGTGACGCCCTTGTCTCCCCCAACAGGTGTGCAGAGAGGAACTGAAACGGGGGAGTGGGGGTGGGGAGCACTGGGGGTGGGGAGCACTGTGGGTGAGCAACAGAGAAGCCACAGGGAGGAGCAGGCCAGATCTAGGAGTGGGTATAGCATTAAACTTGGGGTTCCCTCCTTCTTTCCCTGGGCAAGTGTTCCATGTGTCACTCTGATTCTCATACAATCCTCCAAGTTCAACCTCACTAAAGTCCACCTCACAGGTGAGGAGACCAATGCCCAGAGAGAGGAAATGAGTCAGGCCACGCAGCAGGGAGAGGTGAAGCCCAAAGAGGAAGCCAGGATTCTGGGTTATGGGTTCAGTTCGTGTGGGGGGAGGGGCACCTGTTTTCACCCTTATCCCACTTTGTCTCTGGACCACGTCTAGGGCTCCTCTTTCCTGTCAGCCCTGGACCAGTTCTCACCATCCATTCAATGCTAGTGGGGATACTTGGTGAGAGAAAAAATTGGATGTAGAATAGCACCCCAAGTAGAGGACACTGCAGAAGCAAGGACTTGGGGGCAGTCAGTCAAGAGCATCAGCATAGATTTTATCAAGAGGAGCTGAGATTTTGTTCCCTTGGGCCTAGGCCTGAGGCCCCACCCTAGTGGGCAGACACCTCCTCCCTGTCCACCAGGCCTCACTGAGCCCCTTCCTTCCTGCCCTTGTAGCCTAGGCAAGGTCAGCAGTCCCAGGGAAGACGGAAGCAGGTGGCTGAGTCAGGAAAAATTTTGCTGAAAACCAAAAACAAAAATTCAAAATTCCCCCAACATACTGAAAAATTAGGACAGTGAGCCACCTTCCATAGCCACAGATTTAATGAAGATGTCCTGGTGCTTGGACTATAGGGTGCTCTTGTCTGCCTCTGACACTCTCCACGTGGCTTTGGCCTCAGTTCCCTCGTCTGTGAAACGGGTGCATTTATGGCCTACACTGAATGTGTCTCATGGACAGCAAAGTGGACATGTGAGTGTAATATAGCTAATATAATCCCTATCTGGTTTTATTTCATTTTGTTGTTTTGTCATCTCCACTCCAAAAAACCCAGAAAAGTTCTCTTTGATTACATTAGCTGAATTCTTACTGTTAACATTGCTCCAATGTTGATATTTGTTCCAAAGCCCCAGACCCCCCAAACAGAGGGAAGCTTTGTGGGAATTTTCACAGAGCAGAGAGACCTGCTCCTCCCTAGTGAAATGCTCTCTTGCCCTACCCCCAAGATTCTGCCCCCACCATGCCTTCCACCCAGGGTACTGCTTTCCCCACTGCTCCCTGGCCAGTATGTTCACTCAGCAGCTGTGTACTGGGTACCTGCTGGGAGCCAGGCTCAGTGCTAACACAGCAGGGAGCAAGGAGCTTACATTCTGGTGGACAGAGATAGACAATAAAGTAGGAAAGAAACAAGTAAACAGTATAACTTAACGTGGTGGTAAGTGCTTTGAAATTTTTTTATCAGGGTGACATAGATGAAGGATGTCATCTAAGAAGGGTAGGGGGACCTCCAACAAGGAGCAGATGGGGTGGTCGAAAAAAGGCCCATCTGAAGGAGGCAGCATGTGAGCTGCAATCTCTGTCCCATGGAAATAAAGCCCCATGAGTCTGGTAGAGGCAGGAGAGGTGGTATTATAAGATGAGTGGGTATAGCATGTAGGTTTTGTAGGTCTTGGAAAGAAGTTCAGATTTTATTGTAAAAGCCAAGAGGAACTGGGGCCTCTCTGGTGGCACAAGGGGTTAAGCATAGCACTATGAAGCTATCCGCAGCCACTGCAGCAGGAGTTTAATCCCTGGCCCGGGAGCTAACCCACATGATGCAGCAGATCTCTCCTGTCTCGCCTTAGCAGTGTATTCAGTAGACCTGCCTGTTCTGCTCCCCACTCTGTCTCTGGTGAATCCTCTCATCTCCCACCCCTCTGGTCTACACCCCAGCTCTTGTATGCATAAATAAATCTTAAAAAAAAAAAAAAAGCCAGAGGACCCACTGAAGGACTGTCACCTGTTGTCTAGAGATAAGGCAGGGGTGGGGAGTGAAAGTCTTCCGCACTAGCTCAGATGGGTGATGCTGCAGGGGGCCTGGATGGTTGGGGGTGGGGTTGCTGAGAAGGTCAGATACTCAGGGTCGGTTTTGGAAGAGTTACCAACAGGACTCAGAGTTGCTGCAGGCTTGTCCAAGGGAAGTCACAGGGTTGAGGCTTGAGCGCCGGAAGGCCCTCAGTGGTGGGGCCTTCAGCTGCTATGGGAACAGCTACAGGGGAGCAGCTGGGGTGTCTGCGCTGGGTCTGAGGTGCAATCAGACATGTCAAGGAGATGGAGGGCTCCCTGAGTGTGGGTCTTGGGGTCATCCATGGAGAAATGGGGGAGGCAAGTCTCTCCTCCAACAGGGAACATGGGCTAGCCAGAAATGCCTGACCTGTTGGGGAGGGAGTTCTTTATCTCAAGGAAGTGACATTTGGGGCCATTTATCCAGAGTGTCTCCACATGGCACCAAGTTTGGCAAAGGGCCTGGGGCCAAACTGACACCTAGTTACCCTGGTCCGGGGGAGGAAGAGGGGACGCCCCCAGGACAACATCACGGTGAAGGGTATTTTTACCATTACAGAAGTGGGCCCAGACTAGAGCGAGGGGGAGGCCTCGGAGCATAAAATTTAAGGGGATGCCAAGAGACTCAGGAATCAAGATAAATAATGTTTTAAGGCAATGTGTTAAAAAGAAATCAAAATTAATGCAAATACTCTGAATGTGGTCATTAGTTAATAATGCATCGGTATTGGTTCATTAATGTAACACATGCTGATAATATTAGACGTTACTACAGGAAGAACTGGGGGGGAGGGGGTATGGGAAGTCCTCTGAACCATTCTCATGATTTTTCTGCAAGTCCCAAATTTTCTTTAAAATAAAGTCTATTTAGGGGCCTCCCTGATGGCGCAAGGTGTTAAGCACCGCACTATGAAGCAAACCGCAGCCTCTTCAGCACGAGTTCGATCCCTAGTCGTCCAGGGAGAAACCCACATGGTGAAGCAGACCTCTCTTGTCTCGCCCGCTGCTCCCCTCAGCTGTGTATTTCGGTCAGTCTGCCTGTTCTGTTCCCCGCTCTGTCTCTGGTGAATCCGCTCACCCCCCGCATCTCTGGCCTATACCCCAGCTCTTGTATGCATAAATAAATAAATCTTTAAAAATAAAATAAAATAAAGTCTATTTACAAATTAATGCAAAAAAAATCCATCAACATCTTAAAAAAGGCAGGATTTGACTTTGTACCCACAAGGTCAAAGAGTGGGGGCCTCACCTCTGCATCTGGCCCTAGCCTTGCAGGGATGCTTGTTATCGTAGGGTATGTGGGAAAGGGAGAAGGAATAAAGCAGAAAATATAAATTGTTCATGGGTCCACCTCCCAGAACTGACAACTGTTAGCTTATGAGAACATTTCTTGCTAGTCTTTTTTCCAGGACTAGAAAATGGGGCATGAATATCAACTTTCTCTCCACAAAATTATTGCCTATGGATTATCTGTGTGAAGTTGGACTGTGTGTACACATCTGCATTTTGCTTTTTGCCATTTCACATTGCGCCATGAGCATTGAATGTCATTAACCATCCTCCCAAAATAGTAACTTTAGGGACTGTACAATATTTTGTGCCATCACTGAGCAGGGAGTATAGGCGGCTTCTACAGCGCACACCAACATTCCCTCCCTGCAGCTCCGTTCTCTCCAGGCAGTCTCCATGCGACAAGCTCTGTGTTTTGCTTATTTATCTGGTTTATGGCCATGTCTGCCACCAGAATGTCAGCTGCGTGAGCAGTGACTGTCTGTTTTCTTCTCTGCTCATCCCAGTGCTTACACCAGAACCTGGAATACAATGTGTGCCCCTAAGCCCTAGTTTCATTGAAAATGAAATCCAAATCCTTCCTGTGCCCTAACTCCTGCCTGCCTCCCAACCTTACCCTCACCCCGTCCTTCTCGCTGGTTGTTCTTCATTCGCAGACCTTTCTTTTAGCTCTTTAACATCTTAATACGACCCTGGCTCATGGTGAACCCACCCAACCCTTAACCAACTTCTGACTCTGGTTCCACTCTGACCTCAGCCAGGTGCTCTCATCCCCTGCTCTTCGCATTAATGGTTCCTTCTCATCCTTCAGCCCTCAGGCCAGATGTCATTTCTTTGGAGAGACTGCCCTGATCACCTCACCCAAAGCTGTCCCACTGTGTCCTTCCTCCCTGTTCACTCTTCCACCTCCCATGTTGATTTCTTCAGCCAAAGGAGATCAGAGCTGTAGTACTCTAGAATTATCGGTACGTGCTCAAGACCTCAACAGGGAAGAGATTGGTGGTTGCCAGTGGCAGGACATGGGGGTGGTGGAAATGGGGGTCAAAAGTTACAAAAAGTTCTTGTTTTAGCATAAATAAGTCCTGGGACTACAATGTCCAGCCTGGTGACTACAGGGCATAACACTATTGTATACTTGAAAGTTGCTAAGAAAGTAGATCTTAAAAGTTTGCACACAAGACAAAAATTGGTAACTACATGAAGTGATGAGTGTTAACTAAGCCTACTATGGTGAACATTTTCAATACGTAATTTATCAAATCATTATGTTGTATACCTGAAATGAACATGCTGTTATATGTCAATCATAGCTCAATAAAATGGGGAAAAATAACCCAAAACATGTTTGTTGAATGAATGAGGGCAAAGTCTGAAAGCACCCTTCATCTTTGTGGATATGAGGTGCTACCTTGCGCCCACACATGGGGAGCGTGCCCCAGTCTCAGCTAATGTTTTCATCCTTCACTCATCCTCATGTCTCACTGAGTCTACTAAGTACCAGGCACTGGGTCCCAGAATGGGCCCTGCCCTCAGGAGCTGCCCCTCTTCCTGAGCAGCCAACAGTTCATTAGAAGCAAACACACCAGGAGGTGGCCAACGCTTTAGCAAAGGTCACTGGGAAATCTGACTAATCTCGGGGTAGAGGTGGTGGGCACGGGAGCCTGAGAAGCAAGTGGGGATGTCACAGTCTTTTCAACAATTATCTGGGGGGATCCCCCCCACTCTACCACTGACTGATCACTCTGAGCCCCAACTGGAGGCCGTTGCCTACCACCTTCTTAGTTCCAATGCTATCCAAACCCAAATCTGAGTTTTGAGACCCCAGATTGGCCAATAAGGCCTGTGACCTAGACTTGGGTCTCACTAAGAGCTGCATGCTCTGGCTAGAGAGGCCTGGTGCTAAGCCTGCCCCTGTTTGCAGCGAGCCACACTGCCATGGGGTGAGGAAGGCACAGGTGTGGGCATCGCAGCATAGAAAAAGGGGAGTTCCTCAAGAGGATGTGGTTCTTCTGGGGGGAACATTAGTCTCTCAAATCAGCCTGGTTAGTTGAGTCTCATGGGGACAGAACATGTGTTCCAGAGCCAAAGCTCACAGGACCAAGTCTGACCTCACGCCAAGCCTCTTGTCACCTCCCTGTACTTTCATTTATCCCCTGTGAAATGGGGACACGGTACCCCTGCCCTCGACAGCTGAAACGCCACAGCAACAAGCATTGCTGAGCTCAAGCCCTGGGATTGTAGGGTGTCAGCAAAGAGCAGTCCTGTCCCTGCTGTGCTTGAAGCTTGGGCAAAGCAGGACCCGGGCTGCTGAGTGAAGGGCTGTGCCGTTGAGCCCCTTCTGTTCCAGTGGGAAGCAGGGTGGAAGCGCCAGTGCCCAGATGTTGGCATGACCACCCTGAATCCAGCCCCTGAACTCTGCTTTCCTATGCAAACTGGTAGGGAAGGACATTGCCAGAGAGGGAGAAACCACAGACCCATCTGCCCGGACCACCTTGAAAGATGGTGATGGTCATTAAAAGGGGTGCAGACAAGGAGAAATGAGCTGTGGTATCATTTTATTTCCCTTTTCTCCACATTGCTCATTCTTGATGCTTAAATAACAGTTATTTGAGCCCCAAAAGATTAGCTTATGTACTTATTCTGTAACACTTTCTCCCTCTCACATATTCCTTCTCTCTCTCCCCCCCCCCCATATCCTCCTCTTCCCCCTCTCCCTCTCCAACTGCTTTCAACTTCTTTTCTGGAAAACTGGGTGTTAAACAAACTTCTGCCAGGCACTATGTTAAAGTCTTACTGAATCCTCATAATAGTCCCCAGAAGAGGGATCACTATTTCTCTACCCGTTTTCTAGATTGGAAAACTGAGACTCAGAGGGAGGCGGTACTTTTTCCAGAATCACATAACTGATTATAGGAGAAGTTGGACCTGTCCTCCAGAGACTTGACTGTTTGGGGGGCTGTCCTGGGCTTCTGGTCCTTAAACTACCCCCGTCCCTTGTGGGGCCGACCCAATCCGGCTCCAGTCACCCTACCTTGAGTGTGTCCCCTTTGTTGAAGGCCAGCTCATCGCTTTCTGTGGCTTGGAAGCTGTAGAGGGCCACGGACTCCATGTCGCTGTCCCTGAATCCCCGCAGCTGGGCTCCGAGCAGGGCTGGCAGCTTCCTGCTTCCTCTGCAGTCAGACTGTCTTCCTTTGTTTTGAGAGCCTGTTTGTTCTTTTGAAGCTGAGGCTGAGACCTGACAGGGGAGAAACAGGAAGCAGAGATATGTCACAGAACAGGGGGGCATATGAGAGGCCCGACTTTACTCAGACCTCAGGGAGTCCCTGGGCAGCCCTCGGAGCAGGTGCCAGTCCCTGCGTCCATGTTACAGATGACAAAGCTGAGGTTTCCAGAGAATGCTGCAAGCCAGCCTGCCAGCTTAGGGTATGTCACACGGTCTCAGCCACGTCCCCCACTTTGCCAATCTATCCGCCACATTCTCTAAGCTCCGATGCCTCCATGTCTCCCCAGTTCCTGCTCTATCAATGCCAAGCTCCTTGTCCAGCATTAAGTTTCTTCTTAGCTACTACCAATACCCGCTACCACACACCTTTCCAAACTGATTCTCTGTCCTTCTAAACAATTCCTGAGCTCACTCTTCATTCCCCAGCCTTTTGGGTATGTGTATCCCTCTGCCTAGTGTTCTTCTATCTCCTCCCAGGAGATTCCAACTCATTCATCAAAACCCAGCTTAGAAGGCACCTCTTCTGCTTGAAACATGGATAAAAAGACCTAAAAGACCTGCAAGTAAATATTGACCTTTCATTAGCAGGTTTATTATAGGCAGCAGAGCTGGTGCAGCAATTCTAAAACAATTGTGTGAATTGGGTAGGAAGGAGTATAAAAAAATAAATATGGCAATGTTGTTTGCAACCAGGATTCTCTCCAGGAAGGAAGGGAGACCCAAATCTAGAAGGGGGAAGCAAGTAAGAACCCTGTGCTGTTGGATGGAAGTTCAAAGTCAAATTGTTGTTACTGTTTTCTGTTAAAAAGTTTTTTCCTCCTTATGGAGAGGAAACAAATAAGGGATCAGGGGAAAAAATAGGAATTATAATAAAAATCAAAATCAACAGGAAACTATAAATCAGAGACATTCTGCGTGGGAGAAGGAGGGAGAAGGATCAAAACAGGGGTGGGAATTGCATAAGGGACTATGGTGATGGCACGTGGATGAATTGGTGGTGAGAATTTCACAGGAGAAAGCATACATTGTACAAGAATGATGGAAAATATATATAAAATAAAATAAATTTTTTAAAAAAGGCTACAGATTTAAACAACGACGACAACAACAAAAAGTTTTTCCACCTTCATTTTTACTAATGTGATTCTACCATGGTTTCATATTTTAGCTTGTGGGTTATAATCCATCACTCTCATTATTTTGATGCTCAGATTGTCCCTGATACCACAACCTGCTGTGGCAGCAAGATTCCCTTCAGGCTACCTCTTTGTCTTTGAGACATGGCCCCATCCTTCCCTGAGTACCCTCTAACTTTCTGACAATAGGTTCTAGGCTTATCTAGGACTTTTCCTGCCCCAGATCTGGAATCAACCATGTTTCCAAGGACAAGTTGGGTGGTATTTAGAAACTGTGATTGAACTTGTGTTAGGCATGCTTGTTACATGGAGGTCTCCCTGGTTCTAAATTCTCTCAGCAAAAAGAGTTAGGGATGTGTGTGTGTGTGTGTGTGTGGGGTATATGTATATATGTATGTGTATATATATATATATACACACACACATACAAATATACATGCTCATATATATGCTCGTTATTATAAATATACTATCATATATTATATAAAATGAGTTTTTAAAAAGATCTATTTTTATTTATTTATGCATACAAGAACTGGGGTGTAGGCCAGAGGTGCGGGGTATGAGAGGATTCACCAGAGACAAAGTGGGGAGCAGAACAGGCAGATTGACTGAAACACACTGCTGAGGGGAGCAGCAGGCGAGACAGGAGAGGTTTGCTGTGCCATGTGGGTCAGCTCCTGGCCGGGGATCAAACTCATGCCGTAGTGGCTGGTGATAGCTTGATAGTGCTGAGACTTAACCCCTGCACCACCAAGGAGGCCTTAAAATGAGTTTTAGAAATGTTTCCTTGTGGACAGAGTATGTCCATATTTATATATTTATATATAAATATATATATTTATATATATATACATATATATATATACGTATTTTTTTTTCTGTCTAAATAGTTATGGATAGTAGAATTAAAAGCCATGAACTCAGCCAAATACAAACTGGTGAATGCAGGTGAGGGGTATGTGGGTGTACGTTCCCACAGCTTTTCTGAAGATTTGAAACTTTTCTAGATAAAAAGCTATGATGTATAATATATATGATAAATACAACATACATATATAAATCTACAGTTATCTCAAAATAAAATGTTTATTTTTTAAAGAAGTTTTGGGGAGAAAAGAAGAAGATAGCCAAAGCCACCATCTGCCCAGAGTCCCATCTTGACTGGGCAGGTGGCGCCGCCATGGCCTCGGCTTGGCCCTGTCCCAGACCGCCTCTGGTCTCTCCTCCCAGCCCCTCCCTGTCTTTCGTCTGCCCCAGACCCCAGGGTGACAGGATGTCATAAGGCGCCTCTTTCCGGCTCTATTTCAGCTGAGGTTTCAAAGCCTCAGAATCGTGCAGTAGGGGTGGTGGGCGGAGGGGCGGGGGGGGGCGGTTGCCTGGAAAAATATCTGAAGTGCCTAGAGCCAAGTGTGCTGGGGGACTCTCCTTAAGAAGCTGAGCTTGTATCCTCTGGACCTTGTGGGCCAGGTGGTGGGTCTATTTTATTTTTTAAGGTAATTGTCTTGCTCTATGCCAAGTCATGCACAAAGAGATTTGTCAGTCCCCCACAAGGGCCCAAGGTTAGTAAGGACAGGTCTGGGCCCAGGCCAGAAACCCTGTGCCACATGGCCCTAGCGATCCCTGCCTGTCACATAGTGAGCCAAGAATTGACCATGGCAGGCATGGCAGAAGCAGCCACCCAGATCTTAGATCCTAACTCCAGTGGCTGGCTGATTAATGGTCCAAAGACCTGCAAGTGCTAATCCCTGCAGCCTGTGAAAGCTCCCTTATGTGATGACAGGTCTTTGCAGATGTGCTAAATTTAGAATCGTGGGATGGGCCAAAGCTCCTGAATTATCAATGGGCCTCAATTGCAATCTAAGCATCTTGATGAGAGGGAGGATGAGGGAGGTTGGACAAAGAAGAGTGATATGACCGTAGCACAATACTACTTTGATGGTTTTGAGGAGGAAGGGGCCAGAAGCTAAGGGTTACCATTCTAGAAACGGAAAGAGGCAAGGAATTGTCTCTTCCCAGAGGTTCCAGAAGGGGCCCGCCCCAACACCAACACCTTGACTTCAGCCGATGAAACTGGGGACTTCTGGCCTCCAGAACTGTAGAGAATAATTTCACATTGTTATAAGCCACTCAAGATTGCGCGGACTTGTTATGGTAGTCACAGGAAACAAATATACCCCCTCTGCCTCAGGACTGATCCTGGGGTCAGAGATGATAGTCAGAAATGGCAATTCAAAGATGGGAAGTTAAGGACAGAGAGAAGAAATTGACCACAACCTCTCATTCCAGGCCCAGGGCAGCGGCTAAGGGTGCTGCCTCACAGTGAGCTCTGGAATGCAACCAGAGTTCCACTGCACAGGCCTCTGACCCCTCCAAAGAGATTGGTAGTTGACTGAACTAAGGGATGACCTAGATCTCCTCCTGGAGCAGGGAAGGAAGCATGTGTGAGGGAACATTTCACAAGAGAACGAAGAGAAAAAGTCAAGTTGTTTTCTGCTGCCTGTTCATTCTAAAACTATTTTTTCAGCTTCTGTTCTATGCCTGGCTCCGTGTAAGATTTTGTGTATGTAACAGTGAGAAGGACAAAAATAAAAGACCAAAACCTCAACCCTCTTAGCCGAGACCAAGGACCTAGCCCCCCTCGAGGAAACAGGGCCCTTCCTCCCCAAGCCTGAGAACCCAAGATCCCTCTTCCCCCAGATCACATACACAGGGCTTCTCTTCTCTACCGAGATATGGGCCCCTCTGCCCTCCTCTCAGTAGGAGGGTTTCCTTCTTGGGAGAAACAAGAAGTCAGCATTTCATGCTGCCCAACTACCTGCAGAGGAGGCTAAGTCCTGGAAGAGGCGGGGGTTCCCTTCTCCAGCCCAGCCCCAACTCATGGGTCAGAGGCTCTATCTTAAGGGCAATGTGCTGAGAGTTCTGAGACCCTGATCACCCCTCCCCTGGCCCAGGAGGTGATGGTTCACACCAGGAGGAGGAGTCAGGAGGCTGTCAGGCTGCTGCCTTCCCCTCCACTAATGCTCAGTGTCTAAGTGGGGCTACTGTGCACCAGAAGCTTGCTATTGTGCCTGCCCTGGCTCCAGAGCTCTGGCTCAGATTTTGCCTGGTGGAGAAATAAGCTCTAATTGCTTCCCAAAGGAACTGATCTCCTAATTCTGTAATTATAAAGAAAAGTAGAAATGCCTATTTTTCCTTTTCTTCTCCAAATGGATTTATAAAGTAATTTATAATATAGTAGGTATATAATGTATTGTTGATGCTATAACATACGAAAACATAATGTGTGTGATATATTTGCTAATAATAGCACAAAGGAAGTGAGGGGACAAAACTGTGTTGGGCTAAGGGAATGATTACAGATAAGTAACAATTATAACAATGTGCTGTTGAGTTTGTAACATTAATAGATATAGCAACACACACAACAAAACCACAAAAAGGCAAAAAACAAAATACAGTGTCATTTCTATATATCCCAGGAATTTAACTAATATAAATTGGAAACTGATTTAGATAAGTTCAGATGTATATGGGAAATCAAAAAGCAACTTTTAAAAAGTTGGAAAAAATAATTAAAATAATTAAATAATAATAATAAACATAATTAAAGGAATTAAAATGCTACATTAGAAAATACTCAATGAAAAAGAAAACCATAAAGGAGGAGTAGAAGGCTAACAATGACATGAAACATAAAGAAATGGTAAGTAAAATAGCAGACATAAATCCAACTATATCAATAAAGACATTGTGAATAGATTAAGGTACATTCAAAAGGCAGAACTTGTCAGACTGGATCTCAAAACATGGTCAAACTATATGCCATCTGTAGGAGACATCTTTCAATTCAAAAATACAAACAGATTAAAAAATTTTAAAAGCAGAGAAAGATATATCATGCAAACAACAACCACAAGAAAGTTGAGGTGGCTATCGTGAGATTAGACAAAACAGACTTTGAAACCAAAAAATATATAAAAAGAATACTTTATACTAATAAAAAGGTCAGCCCATCAAGAACATGTAATAATAATAGATAATCTTGTTATTATGCAGCTAATAGCTGAAAACCAAAATACAGGTAGAAAAATGACAGAAATGAAGGGAAAAACAGATAATTCAACAAAGACAATGAAGGCTTCAATAACACCTTTTGAAAATTAATAGATAGAAAATGAATAAAACAGCTAGACTGAAAACCAACTAGGAAACAGAAGACTTGAACACACGATAAACTAACCAGACCCAGTGGACATCTATGGGATACTGATGGAAAGGACACTGGTGGACACCCAGCAGCAGCCGGCACAAATTCTTCTCATGTGCACATGGAATATTCTCCAGGATAAACCAGGCAGGTCACGAAACAAAACTCAAAAGGGATAGAAGCAAAAGGTTGTAAAGGAATATTATGAATAATTGCACACAAACAAATTAGATTAGTTAATATAAATAGACAAATCCTAGAAAGGCACATACTACCAAAGCTGAATCAAGGAGATATAGATTATTTGAAAGACCTACAACAAATGAAGTATTTGAAATACTAATGTTAATATTCATACTAATTTACCCACACAGAAAAGCCCAGACTCAATAGCTTCATAACTAAATTCTAGTAAATTCTGGACCATAACGCACACCTTGACAAATTTAAAAGAAACCATGCAAAGTACACTCTCAGAGCATGGCAGACTTAAACTAGAAATCAAAGACAGAAATGTTGCTGGGAAATCCCCCAAATGCTTGGAGATTAAACAACACACTTGTACATAATACATGGGTCAAAGAATAATTCTCAAAAGAAAATTTTCAGCATTTTGAACCAAATGAAAATACAACCCTAGTGGAGTTGTACAAAAACTTGTGGAATTCAGTGAAAGCTGTGCTTCGAGAGAAATGTAGAGCATTGAATCCACATATTAGGAAAAATGAAACATTAAAATCAACTGCACAGACCAGACTCCAGGCTTGCTCACATGTCTAGTTCTGGTTCCTCTGAAACTAGGGTGGACAAACCTGATACGAGATTGAGAAAGGTGATAAATTGAAATTGAAGACAACAGAAAGCTGAGAGAAAAATCCAGTGTCTTCAAAAGAAACAAACGAACAGCAGAAATCAGCAGGCAGATCATAATGAGGCATGCACCACCAGTAGACGCTGCAGTCCATAAGCATCACCTTCTCATTTTACTTCTTTTAGTTGTTTAACTTTGTAAAATATAAAGAGGTTGGATCAAATGACAGTGCTGCCTCTTTTCACATCAAAGAATCCAGAACTACTGACAACAAAGGCGGTGCCTACCTCTCTCATCTGCTTGTCTGGCTGGCAGGGAATTACTTATATGTTGGTGAAGGGAGAAGCTGGGTAGAACGACAGTGAAATCTAGAGTAAAAAACCAAGCTGGTTCAAGGTGTTTGGTAGACTTTTGAGTTTGTGGGCAAATATTTACCTATTCATCTATTTATGTGTTTGCAGTTAAAAAAGAAAAAAGACTAATGCTATATCAAAACCCACTGAAGTTACTGATGAGGAATAGGATTATAGGCAGGTTTTAAAAATACCTCCCCCCCCCCAGCCCGGCCTTTCTTTTTTTTCCCACTTTTAAATCATGTCATCCTCCTGCTGAAACCTTTCCAAATCACACACAGTTAAATAAAAATTTCTTAAAACTTTTTATTTTATTCATTAAAGGACTCCATCAATCACCCCTAGGAGTTCCACAGTAATAATCTGAGTCAAAGTTGGGGGGAAATGAGTTTGTAAAGATGTGACTTTACAGTAACCCATTTTATGGGAGGCGGGGAACAGATTAAGAGACAGCCTAGGAATTGCAGGAGCGCGAGCTCGAACCCACGGTCCTGGGGCGCCAATTCGTGTGGGTCACCCAGGGGGCCCCAGCGTCAAGCCGCAGTCTATGGTCGCCTCTGCCCTCTTGCGGTGTCTCTCGGAACTACAGGTCGCCTTCCTGTCGGAGAAGAGAGCGGTCAGCAGCCCGGGCTGCGTTAGGAGGCGGGATTCCGCAGTGTCCAGGCTAGACAGACACGGAACCTCAGAGAAAAACTGACCCCATCCACTCACCGCTTCCTACTGATGCAGAGACTCAGGCGGAGGGAGGAAGGGATCTGCTGAGGGACAAGGGAGCTAGCAGTGCCAGAGAGAGGCCTGAAACCTACTTTCCAGAAGGCTGGCCTCTTGCACTGGGGGACAGCCCCTGGCTGAGTCACAGGGGCTGCAAAGGCGGGGCCTGGCTAGCTCTGGGCCTGCAGCTGCCCACCCCCTTCAGTCTCCTGCGACTCCAGGATTTTCACCATCCTTCTGCTATCTGTAACTGTTTAAAAAACTTAAATTTGTTCTAGAACAGATGTCCTTTTTTAAAGGACGACTTTTAAAATGTCAATGACTGCATTCAAAGGTGAACTTGCTTGTTGCCACTCTTCACCGGAAAACTGTGTCACTTTCATACACAACAATGAAACTAAGTAAGATAAAACAAAGACGGTGTTAGTAAATGCTGTTGGATTCTGTTTCTCACCAAGGCCTGCTCTCTGTTCAAAAAGATTGACAACGTACCAGAGAAGGATTTTTCAAACACATTTTATATTCTGACCTGGAAACACATATAAAGATGAAACAAAAATTTCACAAATGTCCTTATTTTTCAGTTATTTTCTATTGTATTTTATTCCATCTTCTATTTTTAAAAATATTCAAAGGCAGGTAAATGCACAAGTTCAAAAACATTGGTGGGGGTTGAAGTTGACGGTACATGAGGACTGTTACTTTCTATTTTTGTGCATGTTCAGAAATTGCAAATAAACATAGGGGAGCAAAAAAAAAAATGCCACCCCAAACGTGTCTTTGGTGAAACATTTCATGGTTTGTTTCAGGAAGGAGCTCTGAAGGCTGGGTAGAAGTTACTTTTGATGTTTATATCTAATCCTCTCTCTGTAAGGGTTTTCCCCCCAGCCCCCAAGAAGACCTAATCACTTCATCCCTTTTCAATGGAAAAGGCAGAAGTACCTTTGTTTTCCCCATTAATACCCTAATTAATTTTCCCTTTCTTCCCACAGCCTCCCTCATCCTAGCTAAGCTATTTCAGATGGCATCTAAAGCCAAGTGCATGATTACTGTCTTATTGGGTCTCTTGCATATATATAGGAGGTATAACTGTTATTATTAAATGTCTATATGCCTTTTTCTTTTATCAATCTAGCTGATGCCTGTCTGAATATTTGCCACCCTAGAAGAACCCACAGGGATAAAGGATCATTCTCTTTGCATCCCAACACAAATTAGAAAGTTAAAACAAAACCAACAACAATACTGAACTATTGATTTGGATTTAGCACATAGATTTCACAATTCACTAAGGGGTCACAAGCTATAATTAGAAAAACTGTGTTTCAGAAAGATTTAAAATGGTCCCAAAACCTTGCAGAGATTTCACCTGGACTTAATCAACAGATTTAGGGAGAATTAATAAGACAACTGCCCTCCTTCTGTAACTGATTCTCTCCCAAGATGACCAGAACAATTCCTCCTATTCTGTATATACATCGTGTTCTCATGCTAAAATGTGAAGCTTAGTTCCCCTCTCCTTGAATCTGGGCTTTGAACAATGCACCAGAAGTAATATTCTGGGACTTCTGAATCAATAATTCAAGAGGACCAGAAACTTCTGACTCCTACCTCTTGGAATGCACATGCTTGGAATGGGCCTCCATGTTGTAAGGAGGCCCAAGAAGCAATGTGGAAATGAAACAGGGTAGAGACCTGTGGGGAGGCTGACAATGGCAGCCTTTATCTTGACTTGTACCTTGATTTTGCCCTTTTCTTTCCAGACTTGCCTGGCCTTTTTTGCCCCTTTTTTACTGTTTCCTCACCAGAAGCTGCCTTAAAATCATGGCAAGCTTTCAGGGCTCAGTGGCCCCACTTTGGGGCAACCCTGTTTGGCTGGGCACTTACCTACGAGGGGATGGGTAACTTTGGGTGTTTCCCTGAGAAGCTATTTCCTTTCTCTTGTTATTATACACACATTCCATTAAAGTTCTTTTTATTGAGGATCTTAATGCACTAAGAGTATTCTGTGCCTTCATGTGGCAGATGGCAGAACCCACTTAAAGTATGCATGCTAACAGAGAGATCCCGGTAGAGGAAAACTGAGATTGCTAACTAAAACTTCAGATGAGCCGCTAACTGGCAGTCAGTGTCAATTGCCAGTCATGTACTTCCCGTTCATGTCTATGGCTTTCCATATCAAAAGATTAACAGATAAAGCACAGGACACCCAGATAAACTTTATTTTCAGCTAAGTAATAGGACAGTCATGCATGGAGTTAGGGATACATTCTGAGAAATGTGTCATTAGGTTTTGTTACAAGGCAGGGTGAGGGGTACCCCCAAACCCCCAAAGCTGCATGCCGTAAATAGGCTCTACCATTGGCAGCATCAAGACAAAAACATACTCTAGTGTGTGAGTCCTTTAATGGAAAGAAACTTTAATAAAATTAATGTGCAATAAAGAGGAGGCAAAGAATATAGTTTCTAAATCAAGCACCCAAAGTTACCCATTCCCCATGGGTAAATGTTCAGACTGAACAGGGTTGGCCTAAAGCAGGGCCACTGAGGCCCAAAATCCTGCTACAAGTCTAAGGTACCTTCCTTCCCCAGTCAACTCTGAGGTGCGCTTGGCCCAGTTGTTTGAGCCCCCAGTGGTGCTGAACACAGCTGCCTGTGGCAGGACCCTGCTCCTTCTTGGCTTTCCTCCTGTCCGTGCCTCGCTGCCCTATACCCCTACTGGTGCTCCTGAAGATCACCTCCCAGAGAAATTCCTGGCACCCAAATTGTTATTTGGGGTCTGTTTTAGGAGACCCAAACTGAGACAGTCAGAACTCAGTAAAGATTAACTATAAAAATAATAGCTATGATAATTCACCCACATTTTCTCTTACAGTGTAGGAAAGCGATTCTGAATATAATGATTATAGCTAACATTTATTGAACACTTAGGGGGAACATGTTCCTGCTGTATGTTTCTCACCAACACCCCCTGAGGTATCATTAAGTCGAATTTAGAAATGGGGAAACAGAGGCACGGCACCCTCAAGTTTCACTCAAGGTCTTGCTGCTGGTAAACAACAGATACTAGGTTCACACCCAGGAGGTAAGACTCAGCACCTGCATGTTAACAACTGGGGGCTTGGATTTCACTCTGGGGCTTAAAGAGGCCAAGCCCCAGAGTGAAATCCAAGCCCCTTGTCTTGGCTCTTAAGGCCCTTCCTGACTTGCCCCCTGCCCTACCTAAGTCCTGCCCCATGTGCTTTCTTCTCCAAGCACCTTGAATTACTTGAATCTCGATACCAGGTACATTTTCCCTACTGTTCCTTCTGCCTTGAAAACCCTTCCTTCTTGTAACTGCCACTTTTCAAGTCACAGATCTGTGTGTACTGATCTACTGTCAAGCAGCCAGCTCTCAGCTCCATGGCCTCCCAGGTAGCTTTCTCAGATCACATGATGGTTTCTGACTCAGAAACCATCACAACACAAACTGAGTTCCAACACTGCCCAGTTGAGGCTGGGCACCTATTGTCTGTACATTGCAGCTCTAATGAAGGAGACATACAAACTGCCTGCACTCACAGGGATCTCATAAGGTAGTGAAGAAAGGCCTCACTGAAGGGATGAGCAGATACCTGAAGGAGATGAGGAGGCCGCGTGAAGATCTGGGGGAAGTATTCCAGACAAAGGGAAGAGTGCTGAAAGACCCTGAAGTGGGAGTGTGCTGGGGCTTGAGGGAACCTAGTAGACTAGTGATGGATGCTCAGGTTGTTTTATGGTTGGGGCTGTTACATGAGGCATGATGAACATTCTAGAATGTGTCTCCTGGTGCCCACACCTGCATCTTTCTGTTGTGCACTGGTGCGCTGGACTAGCTGACTCTGAGGGTCACTTGTGACTATGCCACTGGGCCTTGGCCAGTTGTTTGCCAAGTGGTGATGCCAGACAGGCAGGTCATTTTAACTGCAGTTGCTTAAGACTAGTCTTCTACTCTGTCCTCCATTCTGACCTCCCCCCCCACCATCCTGCAGTCCCTTCTTTTGTATCTTTAAGGTTGTATTCTTCTCAAAAAGGGCTTCTGGAATTATAAAAGCTTCATGTTCCACAGAACCCATTTCTCCCCCTGAAGAGGTGGCTTTGTAGACCACAGTTAGGCCCTGTGGGGGTGCTCAGCTGAGGAGGGATGAGGCCTGACCTAAGTGTGGGAACAGACTCGGGGAACGCAGCAGGGGATGCAGGAAAGGAGGCAGGAGATGGAGACGACAGTGTTGGTGGGGGGAGGAAAAACAAGGAGCGTGTCTTTAGATGCGGGGATGTTGGGTGCATGAGCCTGGAGTTGAGGGTGAGGGCAGGTCTGAGGATGACATTTTAGGAATTAGCAAGTGTTTACACCCTCTAGATTGAGGCCACCCCAGTAAGCAGAATAAAGGTCCAGGGTGCAAAGGGACCCAGCATTGATAGGTCAGAGAGGAGGAGGAGCCAGAGGAGGGGTCACCTAGGATGTGGGAGGAGACAATACTGGTAGGGGGCAGCGTGTTGCACACCTGGCTGGTCCCCCTGACAGCCCACTGGGGGGACACAGATGTCTTCACCTCCCTGCAAGGCTGTCTCAGCATCCCACCCAAAGTATCACCTCCTACATTCTCTGTCCCCCTCCTGGTTTATTTCTTTACAGCACGCCCCCTTGTGCTGTTATATAACTGACATTTAGCTTTGTATTTATTTGTTGATTGCCTGTCCCTTCCACATCCACTTCCTGAGGACCAGCAGCACGTCCTTGTCACTACTGTATTCCCACGTCCAGTTCAGGACCTGCACACAACAGATACTCGGGAAATGGTTGGGGAACACATTTTGCAGAAGAGGAAACTGAGGCTCGGAGAGGACAGGTCCCATGGAGAAAAGAAGGCGGCACGGGGATCTGGGGCAGGGCTGCTGCTCTCAGGGCGAGAACCCGTTGACCCTCTTCCTAGACGTCAGGCCTCTCTCGGTACCCTGGACGCCTGGGACCCAAACTAGGCCCAGGGCAGAGCTGGGCCCAGACGGGTGGAAACAGCGCCGAGATCTGGGAGTCGCCGGCAGAGGGTGCTGGAGACGCGCGCCGCGCCCAGGGAGGC